CATCATTGTAACAAATACAGAGACATTGTCTTGCATGTGTTTGTAAATGCTGTGCAGCTGTCTTTTGAAGTCTACATCTGTGTCAGGATTAACCATTTCCAGTGCTTTTGATTTCAAGACTGACAGATTTTCAATCACTTTTTCAGATGGTGGTAGGTCTTTGAGACCAAGTCTGTTGCTAACTCTGTCACTGAGCTTCCCTGTTAGTGGCATTACATGTCCAACAATGTCCTTATACACAGAATGTCTTATTTCATTTGGGCAAAACAAACAATACTTCTGAGATTTATCACTGAATTGTTGGTTACTTCCAGGTTGTTCACATGGGATCCATTTAAGCATTTTGAGGCAATGAAGTTGTTTGTGAGAAAACTTTGTCAGTAGATCATTACTTTCCAACATTTCCAACAGAACCTGAGCTCTTCTCAGAGCCTCAGTCTGTGAGTTCATGCACAGTTTGTCAGTCAACGTGGCAGCATGTAGCAAATGTTCAGGTGAGACATCTATCTCTTTATTCAGTAATCCGATTTCTGTTAAGCTTTCCAGCATCTGCAGTGAATGAGTGTATGAAGGCGGTGGAAAGAAGTCTGACTCAAAGATGACTTTAAAAGTCTGAACTCTTGGATCAAAAAAGTCAGATGCCTTTTTCAGCTGTCCATTCACCTCAATGAAGCTCAAGTCCTTACAGCTACATTTCAGGGATTCGTTTTGTGAGAAAAGCACCTTACCATGCTGTAAAACCCAAGTCATTGTTTTTTTAGTTTCGTCATTGCTACAATTCCCTTTCCTTATGCTGTCAACAAGAACATTGGCTGCTTCGGCGGTGTCCAAGAGATGAACTTTGAGCAGCTGTAACAGTCTGCGGTCAGTCTCAGTAGAACACTGGATTATGGAATCAGGCACAGGGAGCTCTGTTGGTACTGTTAGGCCTGAGATCAGAAGCAGAGCTTGTTTCGATTGAGCTGCAACACTGAATCCTTTCATGGTTTGAAACAAAGGCAACTTCAATAGAAAATCTTTCTCTGTTTTTGAGAGAGAATCCAGATAAGAGAGATAATCTTTCAGTTCGTTGCGTGCTGTGTGAGAGGCAGATGTGAGCTCTGTCAAGAGATGTTGGAAATCTAAATTAATCAAGACCTTCAAAACACTCCTTGGAGATGGGCACAGCACATATGAGTCAAGGTCTTCATGCTTGAGCCACTCATTTCCTCTCACCACTGTGCCACCAACTTTGTTCACCAACTGAGCTATTCGGTCTGGCAAACTCAAATGCTTGTTTTTCTGAAAGATCAGAGTTGTGTCCTGCTGTAGTTTTGCTACTGATACAGTTTGACTGTGAGACAGAGGACTAACTGGTATTAGAGGTATGTCAGTGAAAGGACTTAACTCATTAAAATGACTGTTGAGAAACCTCCAGAATTCTTGAAACCAATCTAAAGGTGGATGCTGACTGTTGCTGTTTTCCCATGCAACAAGGTTCTTCCCTGTCTGTTTCCAGTCTGGTGGCAAATATCGTCTTGCATATTCAGCTACATGGGATGCATCAATACTGATGACCCTGAAGAAACCTAAAGAACAGATTATAAAATAAAGAGAGATTTTAATTTCTGTGCTGTGATAAAATGTGTAGATGGCACATGCAAATGATTCTGAGGTTACTGCGTTCTATCAAATTACTTTGACTTACTTCTTCTGGCTAGTTGTATTAGATGGGTACTGCAGACAGGAGTGAGATTGTGTGGGATAAAGAGGTGATTGCAGAATGGCAGCAAGATTCTGCAAAAGAAGATAAGTTTGTTAATGCAATGTAACAAAAAGTCTAAAGAGCTTGGAAAGAAAAGCGTTTGTACTTCTTTAAGTTTCTTGAAGATGTTTCACCTCTCATCCGAGAAGAAGCTTCTTCAGTTCTAAGAGCATTTGGTGAAGAGCTCCCAAGTAAAGCCCTATGGGAGTGTCTGCAAGAGGGTCATAGACCCGCTATTGATCCTCTGCCTAATCACACGAGCCAAGGTGTGAAAACAGGTTTGGGTCACAACCAGCCAAGGTTTTGGGTGAACCCATTGTGAAAACTAGCCCCACCCTATCATATGATTTACTGAGGTCAAATGACCCAGGATGTGAGTGGGCGTTAAGGCATCTGGGAAGGGATCTCGAAACTGGATTATAGATGGCAGACAGCTGCCAGATAGACAGTTGCAGATTAAAAGCTAAGTCTTGTCCACTCAGTTGTTCATCTGAGTCTAAAGGACAAGGGTCAGTCCTTCGAGGATGCCAATTGTTAGAGCCAATCCATAGAAAAATATTTTTGGTACTGTTTCAGTTATTATGTCACATGTTTGATTTGTATAAAATGTTATCAGGGAATATATGCAGTGTGTTTACATTTTTTCGGCTAAGATGAACATTGTACGGCGCATGTGTGGTAGCAGGTTAGAATGGAAGTGGACGTGGAAATGTGTGCTGTAGCAGCAAATAGTTTTTTGACCGTGACATTGTGATTTGTTTCTATGTACAAGTCAGAAAATAAACTTGAATAGCTCACATTAAGAAGTGGAAGAATTATTTTTTCAAGGTTTGGCACAGAAATTCGCCACTACACCAATGTTCACATTTTGGACCGAGATGACAGATGGTTTGAAAGAGGAGTAAAAGAAGCCATCTATGTCCACTGTGAATGACTGTGTAGGTCTCATTTATCTTTGAACAGAGGCAGTGGCTTACGACACCAACTGTCTATTAACAAGGGGTCCATGACCCTCTTGGGGACACCCCCATAGGGCTTAAAATCTTAGACTCTCCAGCAATTTCTCTTAGAACCGAAGAAGCTTCTAAGATAAGAGGTGAAACTGTCAGGGTGCTGGGTCTGTGACCTAGCATTTTGAGTTATTTTGTATTTTTGATTACTTATGAGATAATGTTAAGTTCTGGTGTTTTATTAGTTCGTCTTAGTTGAAGTTTAGTCGAGTTTATGTTATTGTCCATGTCTCCTTGTTTATGAGTCTTTTTCTGTTTGTCATGTGTTATCTCCTTGTCTATGTAGGTTCCCCTTGTTTCTCTCTCCTCTGTGTCCCTCTCCCTTTCTTGCCCCCTCTCTGTCTCTTGTGTCAAGCTTGCGTGTCCCTCCATAGTTTAGTTTCGCCCTTGCCTTGCTTTTCTGTTTTGGTATTCAGCCCAAATAAACAACCAGTTTTTTGTCAAACTTCAGTTCTTCTCTCCCATGTCTGCTTTTGGGTCCACACCTCAAACACACCGGCTGCTCAGCCTTGACAGAAATGTCTTCAAGAAACTTAAGTCCAGATGCTTTTCTTTCCAAGCTCTTTAGACTATGATGACCTAGATGATCGAGAACTTTCGCAGACAATATAACAAAAACAAAAGTAATGACATATGTTGAGCAACTTTGTAAGGAGCCATTTGGTATAGGAACATTCTTGGAAATCTGATAAGCCCAGTGCATCTTTCTACCATCTAATGGTGGTAGTACAACATTCACTGTCATGAACTGGCTGTTTACAGGCAGGAAAAGGACCCAAATGCAAACTCTCGGAGACAGGATGTAAACGAAAAAAACCAACAAAAAAACAGCTTTATTTGCTGAATGGATAAGCAATACAAAACTAAACTGGGAAATGCTAAGGATAACACATGATGGAATAAAACACAAGGAGGGGAAACAAGACACAAGGACTCACACAACTAAATAGACACAGATGCACAGAGGGAGACAGAGGGCAAAGACACAAGGGGAAATCTAATAAACCATAGTGAACAAAATAACCTAGGAACCATAGATTGCAAGTGAACTCAAAAATAAGACAGAATAATCAAAAATGTACGAAAACTCAAACCACTGGGTCAGAAGGTAAATCAGATCTTTTGGGATGTTGATAAATTGACAGCCACTTTCTAAATATTCAGTCACAAATCAAATGTGACAGTATTCTCTGTAGTGACAGTAAGAGTGCTTAGTTTTTCCTGTATGCAACAAAATTTAAAGCAACAGCAATCAAACCAAATAAAACATAAGATGACAACTTTAGTCATAATGAATATAACATTTATTTTAAATATTGATAGATGTATCAATACCTTGGAACCCTACCTTGGAAATTCATGGCTGTCAATCAAAGCAGTGTCTTCCTCTCTGTATGAGAAATATCTGAAAGAGCCATCACTGAGTGGAAGGAGCTGAAGACCCTCAAGTTCTTTGTATTGTTCATCACCCAAAATGTACTCCAAAAGACTGAGATTGTCATCTTTGGTGATGTTATCCACACCGGTCCTGTGGAGAATGGCCCTGAGGAATGCTGGAGTAACATGTTTTAGGGTAGCAGGGTTTGGGTAGGCCTCATTTATAACCATTGCAACACTAGCTGGTAAAGTGACAAGATTTTCTCCACATGACACTAAAGCCCTTTTAATGGCAGACAATATGTTGGTGCTTGTTGGGCCATTGCAGGGGAAAACAGCTTCTGATGGAGAGATAAACTGTCTTTCATCTTTAGCAAGAGAGAGGATGGCCACATTCTGTCTGAATAAGTGATGAAAAACATCCAGAGTGAGAGCATGCCATTTTTCTTTGTGTTGTATCTGAGTGAGATCTGGCCACAGATTGTACACAGAGGAAACAGGGAGGATAGAGTTTTGGGCAAGTTTAATGGCATCTTGAATGATCTTGATGTATGCTTGTGGAAACACCTTCTTCATCAGCATTTCATTCCACAAAGCATGTTCATCATGTCTCTGGTCTTCCTCTTGCCATTTGATGTGTCTTCTATTGTCTGTGAGGCCAAAGCATGCATTGACATAAACTGGGAGTCCTGTCTTATTGGATTCATTGTTTGGAAGGGGGAGAAAGCAGCTCAGTCTGCTCTGGCTACAGTCTCTCTTCTCACCACAGGGGAATGCCAGGTCAACTTGAGGTAAAAAGCTCAACTTCTTTGTAAGCAAATCAAGATCTTCTACAACGCCCTCTTTCATGGTACATGTTGTCAGAAGCCACTTTGTCTCTTTTTGGTCTTTTGAACTCACAGTTATAACTTTGAACCTTGTTAGACCCTCAATGACTGACTCCTCTTCTGGCTCCAAAACACCATCTGTGGGGACTGAGGATTTCACTTCAAGTCTGGTGTTAACAGCTCCATCTTCACTAATATGTAACAAGGACACGGAGGTGACATTTTTCAAGAAGAGGAGGCTCAAATCTGCATCTGCAATGAAGCTATCAAAAAGCTCAACCACTTTATCTGAGTCATACAGATTATCAGAAATTTCTGATGCTTCATTGCGTAAAGGAAATCTAAAAATTGTCCCACTGAAGTGCTGATCCTCCATGACAACTTTTGACCATCCATGTTCACATACAAGTGAGACTATATCTCTAAATGGTTGAAACTGATCATGCATATTCAGCAGAACTTCTTGGTCTTCAGAATCATCCAAAGACCACCGAAACCCTCCATTTCTCTCTCCAAATACTTTTTCTTGGGGATCCATCATGCCAAGATGCTCTGAACTCAATATACTTGGCACATCTGTGAACAAAGAAAGTATATGTTCCAGTTCATGTTGTTATAAAATACTTCTCATACTAACTGTGATAATTATAGATAGTTTCACCTGTTATGTGGTAAACAGAGTTGAAGCCGATTCCAAACCTCCCAACTTTGCTTGGGTCATCACGCTTCACACTCCTTCCAGCCATCTGAATTCCTTGCCAGTCTTCAACAGTAAATGCAGCATTGTTGTAGGCATAGAGAGCAGGACCTTTGGAAAAACACAACATGCTCATGACTCATGCTTAAGGCTGATACATCCTCTTCATATGATATTTTGATCTCTAACCGAGAATATTCTAACAGAAAGGCTGGTGTCAATGCAATGCTGTTGGGAATGTTTGAATTTCTGTTGAACATCGTGGCCACAGTCTGGTGTAAATGCAACTAGTTGCAATGCTAACGTGGACTTGCATCTGCTGTCTTAGTCTGCATATTATGATTAAGTTGCAACATGACTGAATATAAGAAACCTGAGATCCACTACCTAATAACCTAATAAGCATGCATCAACCTTTGAACTGAAAAGAACCCACACAGACATGGAGAAATATAAAAGCTTCACAAGGAAGGGCCCCAGGCCAGATTCAAACCCAAGACCTCTTGTTTTTGAAAGGACATGAAAAATAAATGAGGACAGTGGTCTACAAACCAATGTGTGGCACCACATCTTTTATATTTTCTACCATCAGACTCTAATAACAAGCTTGTTGATCTTCCCCAAAAAACTCCCTCTAACATATTTATGATAATCTGGAACTTAAGAAAAAGAAAGTCTAACAGAGGCAAGGTCACCAGGCTATCCGGTCTTTAAGTGATGACGTGACGAATCCTGCTTCTGGGCCTAAAGTAGTCTGCGTTTAATATGGCTTTTGTGTTGTTAACATGTTTAATGTTTTGTATTTTTTTCTATTTAATCTCAAAAAGCTCCTAAAACAGTCAGTGATCACTGTTGACCTCCCTCGGCTTTTATTACCGCTAATCATTTATTTAAGTGTGTTTTTTAATCAATAAAATGTTTTTTAATATCTTGCTGCATTTTGTATAAGTTCATACTCAAGTTTAAATAAACAACAACACTAAAGCTATTCTGTTATACCTGTATGTAAAAAATACACTGCACCCAAAATATTTCATAGTTCAGCAACACTGATCAATCTAATAAACTTAAACCTACTCCATCCTCCCTATTCTGGTATTTTAAAGAGTACTTAGCAGAAATATTAAGCAACCTAACTAATAGGGTTGCAAACTCCCAGCAAAAAAAATAAAAATAGGGAACCACCCTCCACCTCATGATGCTTAATCGACGTAATCAACTTTAATTTGATGCAGGGTGAAAAAAAAATGCACAGAAATCAATTATTTTTCAAGAATAATTAAATAGATTCAACATCTTTCTTCAACAGAATTGCAGACTGCACAGATGGTACCTTCCCAAAGGAAAAAGTACTATAGCTTACTAGGGTATATTAGACTTAACAGTTACTATATACAGTAATGGACTTCTATTGAAATCCAAAATTGTGAATGTGTGAGTGAATGTGAGCGTGAATGGTTGTCTGTCCCTGTGTGTTGGCCCTGCGACAGACTGGCGACCTGTCCAGGGTGTACCCCGCCTCTCGCCCTATGACAGCTGGGATAGGCTCCAGCGCCCCCCGCGACCCTGAAAGGATAAGCGGAAGCGAATGGATGGATGGATGGATGGATGTTCTATACATTTTACATAGATTAAAACTTTGGGTGTAAGATTCAGATAATTATTTATTAAAAGCAGAATTTTAAATGAGAATAAGAAAGAAAAGTATGTCTTTGTGCCCCCTTTTCCCTGTTCAATGCCCTATCGGCCCCCCTGGCTAAACTTTGCTAGATCCGCCCCTGCACAGTTACAGCCGTCAGCTACGTAGAAAAAGATCCTGGTGTAGAAAGTAATATTAAATAAATTCTAACAACAGCTTATCAAGCTTAAACGTGCTGCTGTTGTTCGCCTGCTGGTTTCCTCTTTCTGGTGCAAGTGTGGACCAAAAACAAAGAAGAGAGACGGACTCGCGACAGAAAAGCCGATCAGCTGATCATTAGCAGTTTCAGATTGAAGTAGCACGCAGAGAGGGAGAGAGGACAGTCGCTCCATATATCAGGTTGTTAAGCTTAACTGGGAATGCTTTACAACATTCAGAGATGAACTTACACACTTGCTTTACTTCTCTCTGGGATCACTTTCTCGGAGATGAAATGCTGGTTTGGTAGCGAGGCACAAATACACACAGCCGCTCTATCACGTGAGCAACTGCGCGACGTGCTACGGTTATGAGCCGAGTTACGCCGTGTGCAAGTTTTGTGAGGTGCTTTTTTGATATTTAATGGATCGGATTACATTTTTTATTTCTTCGCCGATATCCGATCCAGTAATTTAGCTCAGTATTTAAACCTTAGGATGTAACTACAGCCCAGCCCATGCAGCAGTATATGAATGACTAACCTCGTATTGTGGATGGATTATCTCAGTTGTTCTCCTTGGCTGAAGTTTGGTCCTTTTACAGCATCCTGCCATGCGATTACATTTGTTCCTGACCACCGAGAACACTCACGTTAACTTTTATCGAGTGGAAAAAAAGTTAGCTTGTTTATATTATGCTAACATAGCTGTGTCGCTAGCGGTCACGTAGCACATCATTATATACCAGCTAGCCAACTTCAGTAACCCTACAAACGTCACTGCTGTTTAGTTTTCTGTCTTCATTTATGCTGGAAGTGATAGACAGAGCTGTACGTTTTAATTTGTTTCCAAAACCCCGCAGTCAGGACATGCTATATTGTATTTAGATGGAAGCTAGCGAGCTAACTTCCTGCTAATTTCTAACTCCGTTAAATGTCATAAATTCCGTTTTCATGGATGCCTGGATGTTAAACTCAATTGTTACACCTAGTAGAGCAGAATGCTGATCATTTTATTACAGATGAAAGACTTTAGACAAAGATGCCAGTGATTGTTTGACTTAGCGACCTGAGTTTGAGTCCAGACACGGCTAGTGACGTCAGACTTAAAGACCGGATTGCAGGGCTACAGGGCACAGGACCATTCAGATTTACACCTACAGCAAATCTAGAACTGCCCTATATTTCTGGCATGTTGTGTAGAAGTATTTGCCCCCTTCCTGATTTCTTAGTTTTTTTTCATATTAGTCACAAATACATGCTACAGATCATCAAATTAATTTAACATTAGACGAAGATAGGTACATAAGGCCCTAAGTCAGGGGTCGGCAACCCGCGGCTCCGGAGCCACATGCGGCTCTTTAGTCCTTATTTTGCGGCTCTGGGTGGCTTGGGAAAATAGAAGAAGTATCTCGCTGAAGTGCATTTTATTTGTGTTTAGTTCTTTTTTTTTTACTTGTAGTTCTAAATTGGAAGATTATTGTGATTTTGAAATATAAAAATAAAATGATATCTTATTATTTTTTTCATCGCTCGCGGAACGCGGTGTACCCGTGCATTTATCAAGACTTTCAACCCCAGATAGGCCAATTATGGATCTTCGGATCCACATTATGTCGGCAGCTGTTCTCCACCGTGAACTATGTTAAAAACAAACACTGCTCCCGCCTCACAGATGACAGCTTACAGTCCTGCGCAAAGATGAAAGCCCCGATTTGCAGACGCTGTGCGCCGAGGTTTGGGACCAGAAGTCTCATTGTAAACATATCACGGCAGACCCGACGATGTTTGCATGAACATGCTTTTCAGCATCTCTTTATTGACCACTTTTCACACACGGTTGCTGTACGCATAAAGCCGGCTGTAGCTTTTCAGCTCACAGCCCGACAACACAACAGCAGAGAGAACAGGCTTTAAGGCGGCGAGGCGCGATTGCGGGTGCCGCTCAGGTGCGTCTGACTCCCATGCAGCGGCACTGCAGACCACGCCCCGGCACACACATTAACCAGGTAAAACACATATTTAGGCAGAATTTTGCAAATATCTTTTTTTTTTTTAAGTGCTTTTTTTCCAATTACTTTTTTTTAAAAAGGGTGGCGGCTCACAACAGTTTTTGTTTGCTACATGGATCATTTTAGTTCAGCTGGGTGTCTTTCCTTTTGTTATATTTCTTTAAGAGTTCAAAATGTGTTAATAATAAATAAAATGTAATTTTCTCTGTAGCACTTCATGGATTCCATAAGCAACACACCTTAGTTGCTCTGTGGATTCTTTTAAAAAGCAGTTAAAAACCTTTCTGTTCAAACAAGCCTTTTGTTGATCTACGTATTTTATATTCTTTACATTATTTACATTTGATCTTTTACATTGTGTATAATGTCTATTGATTGTATTGTTTATTTTAATATTTGTGTACAGCGCTTTGTGACTGCCTGTCTGTGAAAAGCGCTTAATAAATAAACTTTACTTACTTACTTTAGATGTTCGCACAAAGCATAAAGGTAAAAAACAATATATACAGTGTTATCTTCATTTTAGATTTCAAAAAGTATTTGCGGCTCTTTTGCGTGGAAACCGGGTCCAAGTGGCTCTTTGGGTGTTAAAAGTTGCAGACCCCTGCCCTAAGTGGACATGTAGGCGCTCCTCTTCAGGAGAGGAGAAAAGAAGGGGGTCAAAAGCTTCTAGCTGCAATGGAGTGCATTGGAGATAAGGATTTTTGAGCACAAAAGGCCAGATTTGGCCTGAGTGTGACTCTAGAGCAGGGCAGTGGCGTGTCCAGCCATTAAGTTTGTTGAGTTTAGTAAACTTCGGTAAAATTAGAATACCAAGGAAAAAATAACACTTAAAGAATTATTGCAACCGTCGAATTTTGAAGCATGATGAGAGGTGGTGGATTGGCCAGATGCTGGTCGATGTGTAAAAATAACTCAGTTGTTTGGTGGTGGCTATGGCGGAGCTTCCACAGAGGCCAGCAGGTGGATGAGGGAAGGGGAGGCAGGAGGAGGAGAGACCCGAGGCGGCCGCCGGTCCGAGTGTCAGGTGAACTGAACTTCAGGTAAGAAGTTATGACCTGCAGTCTATCTGGGTCAGATATAAACCAAGTTTAGGTGGAGTTTATTTTCGTTGTGCTGACTTTTTACAGTCAGTTACAGTAATCGTTGCGTCTAGCTAGCATGAGGAGTTTCTATACAGTCTGGGTGGGTGCTGATGATGTTATTGATAGTGAACTTTATTAATTATGTCATATAGTAGTTGTTCCAACGTCCTTAAAAAGGA